ACCATTAAAATTTTCATTCTCATTCTTCTACTCATTTTTAACCACACATCCTTCAATAAAATAATATTTTCCATCACATCAATAACTTTTCCTTCTTTTTCAACCACACATTCTCCATGGACCCCACTTGATGTGAAATAAAAAATGTATTATTTGAAAAAAGAATGGCTCCCAAACGGAGCCTAAGTAACTATGATTCAACATATACTTATTCTTTTTCTCTTTTTTGGGAATCACATAAAAATAGGGTTCCATTTAAAACTTAAAAATAGACAAATTTAAAAAACAAGAACTATTTCAAGATTTGCTAAATCGTGACAAATGGTGCGTTTATTACGTAGAATTGAAAAGAACATACAAATTGTTTTCTTCAATACTATCCCATGACATTGAATCGAATTCGAATACAAAAAATCCATACAAATTTGAAGTAAAATTTTACTAAATAGAGAAAATAGACTAGACGACATGTGCATATCATGTGAAGCCAACCAAAATAATTTTTTCTGTCTGGCCCGCCATTTGATGATTGTTTTGGAACACAAAAATTCAAGATGCAACAATCATACTTCACATCTATCTTGATTTTCCACGAAGCTTCCTTCACCATTTTTATAATGGAATATTTTGATCCAATATTGCCAACTTGTCTTGGGGTTTGTTTTGGAATCATTTCACAGTTGATGGTTTGATAGTTTGGCATTGGACGGCTAGGTGCTTTTTTTATTTTTTTATTTTTTTTCAATAAAGCTATTTGTACAAAGTCGAGTTACAAACTGTGTAGGCAAAATTCAGATCGTTGATTTCGAGTGATTTAAAAATTCATTTTCAAAATGATTGGTGTAGATGTTATTTTGTAACTCACCTTTATACGTGTAACATAACTCATTTTTATTTGAATTTTTCCCTTTGTACAACCCCTACAGACATCTCACGTGAGGTGGGGTCCTCAATAAAAAAGTTAAAAAAATTATCCGCTCCCACGTGTGTGTGGTGTGAGAACCATGTACTTCAAACATGATTGTTTTTATTTTTCTCTTTATAAGATCTGATTAATTGAAAACATTTTCAAAGAGAACTATTATTTATATATTATACATGTGTTAATTTGTTATGGATGTAAAGTTAAGGATAATCATTGCTCCATTGCAAGTAGTCGGTCATATTTTATAAGATTTTCAGTTAGTATCCGTTTGATACACCATATTTTATATGGAAAATATTTTTTTCCATTTTTCAACTTTTATAGTGTTTGATAAGCAAAATTTCCTCAGGACAATATTTTTCAAATTTTCAAAATTTCCATATTTTTTAGGAAAACAAATTCTTGATGTTTTGATTGGTAAATATTTTTCAGGGTTTTTTTTTCGATAATTGAAAAAAATTATAGATACAATGGTAAACAAAAATCAATTTTATTGATAATTTTTATGCAAAACAAAACCAAATGAATGATATTCGGTATGGTAATTTTTTTTTAGCAATTGGAACAAATTTTAAACTCAATGATAGAAAAATTTATCACTTTAATGGACAATTTTCATAAAAAACAAAATCAAACGGACACCAAACTTTCAACATTTTGCATGAAAAATTATACCAATCAAATACAATTAATTACAATTTCCAATAAAATAATTTCTAATCAAATCAATTTCCTATAAAATATTTTATTTCCACCCATTTTTCACATTTGCAATCAAACGGATCCTTATTTCAAATTGAGTATAAAGTACCATTGAAACAAGTACAGAAGGCATAAAAATCTAGAGAAGAAGACGGGTGTAAACTCCTGATCTGGGAAATTGCACCAACCATCCCCCGACTTAATTTTTTAACATCTAATATTCTATCTTTCTTGTAACGACCCGGGTCCCACTTAACGGGCTGTCCCGACCGTTAGATCGATGACGTACTGTCCTCACTGTACCACATGGGTCTTTTCAGCATGCTTTGTCCTC